ATGACAAAGTAACCGTCACATCGTGAAATCACTAGTATGGTAACTTTGCCAAGTTAGTCTTATAGACAAATATTAAGACTACTATATTAAAAACGAAATATTACAGTTCCTAACCTTTAATATTACGTTATTACAAAGATATAGGTACGTACATTCAGTATTTCAACTAAAATCCACAAAAGTTCTGGAGCACTGAAAAAGGTGTTTAAGTCGCCGGCACAATATCGCGGTACAATAAAATGTCAAAATTTACTCTGATCTTGCCATATTGAAAATAATGCTGTCAATTAGTTATTAAATTTTCATACAAAAAATGACAAATGTAAAGAAACGTTACGTTTTCCGCTTTAATCGTAATTTTGTACCAGTACACCACTGATGGCAAAGTTACCTTCCATTGGTAAAGTTGCCAGACTTGACTGTAACTTTATAGTTCTACATTTGTATGAATTTAAAAGTGTTTGCTATTTACGGATCCATGTTTTAACGGCCACCTTTTCAACTTTGTCAAAACACAAATGCCCGGTTTCTATTATCAAGGAACGTTGCGTTTTCCGTACGGCCCGTAGAATTAAATATGTATATACTTGGACTGTGACTATATAGTCTATCTATGACTGACGAGAAGACCGTGGAGCTGGAAGAAGAGATAGACAAGTTGCGCTGGCATATTATAGGATCATCCGAAGTCCGAAGAGAGGGGGAGGACACGGTAATCCTCGAATCCGGCAACTTGCTCTATCACCGGGAGGGCGACCATCTGTCCCAAGGAGGTGTCGGATTTATCGTCCACAAGTCTCTCGTTAACAACGTTGTAAAGATCGGGAGTGTGTCGACGAGGGTTGCGTACCTTATACTCAGAATCACCAAACGGTATTCGCTGAAGGTCATACAGGTTTACGCACCAACCTCGGCACACCCCGATGAGGAGGTGGAGGAAATGTATGAGGATATCTCTAGAGCCATGCATTCCTCCAAAACCCAATATACGGTGTTAATGGGAGACTTCAATGCAAAACTAGGCACAAGAGAGAACGGTGAGCTGAAAGTAGGGAAATTTGGAATAGGGCAACGGAACCCAAGGGGCCAGCAGCTGGCCGACTTCATGGAGAAAGAGGGACTCTTTATGATGAACTCTTTCTTCCAGAAGCGGCCCCACAGGAAGTGGACCTGGTCGAGCCCCGACGGTTCCACAAAAAATGAGATTGACTTCATTATGACGACCAGACGACAACTGTTCAGTGATGTCTCCATGATCGCGAGGGTGAAAACTGGTAGCGATCTGGAATCCGAATGGTTAGAGGCACACTGAACCTAAACGTTAAGTTGGAGAGGTCTCGTCTAATGAAGTCAACGCTCCGTCCCCCTCGTGCTCTGTTCCAAAGTCCCGAAACCTTTCAGCTCGAGTTACAAAACCGTTTTCAGTGCCTGGAAGACTGCAATGAAGTGGACGATATGAATGACAAGCTCGTGGAAACTGTCCATGCGGTCGGAGCTAAGTTCTGCAAGACCCGCCGCAGAAGAACACAAAAACTCTCCGATCACACTCTTAATCTCATGGCTGTTAGACGGGAGATGAAGCTACATTCTTCAACAGACTTGACAGCATACAGGCATCTGAACAGACAGATCTCCAAATGCATGCGGCGGGACTTACGCAACTTCAATACAGCTCGTATTGAAGAAGCGATCGAGCGGAACCAAGGCTCCAAAGTCTTTGCCAGAGATCTGTCTGCCAGAAAGAGCCAACTGTCAAAGCTGAAGACAGAATGTGGCAGCATCGTTTCCGGGACACCTGAGATTTTGAGTGAGATTGAGAGGTTCTATGGGCAGCTGTACACATCATCGTTGGAGCCACACGCAAGTGTGAGTAACGATCCAAGAACGAGTCTCATCCGACACTATTCCGAAGATATCCCGGATGTCAGTCTGAGCGAGATTAGGATGGCTCTCCAGCATCTTAAAAACGGTAAGGCCCCAGGTGAGGATGGAATTACAGCGGAGCTTCTGAAAGCGGGTGGAAGACCGGTACTTGAAGTCCTTCAGAAGCTCTTTAATTCCGTCCTCCATGGTGGCATTACACCGGAGGCGTGGAGCAGAAGTGCGGTGGTCTTGTTCTTCAAGAAAGGTGACAACGCTCTCTTGAAGAACTACAGACCGATTTCCCTTCTGAGCCGCGTCTACGTGCTGTTTTCGAGAGTCATTACGAATCATCTCGCGCGCAGACTTGACGACTTCCAGCCTCCCGAACAAGCCGGTTTCCGAAAGGGCTTTAGCACCATAGACCACATACATACCCTTCGGCAAATTGTACAGAAGTCCGAAGAGTACAATTTGCCACTATGTCTGTAGTATGTGGACTATGAGAAAGCCTTTGATTCCGTCGAAATTTGGGCGGTGCTGCAGTCCCTTCAGCGGTGCCAAGTTGACTGTCGGTATATCGAAGTGTTGAAGTGCTTGTACAGTAGGGCTACGATGGCTATCCGAGTACAGAACCAGAGTACGAAACCTATCCAATTGCAGAGAGGTGTAAGACAGGGTGACGTCATATCCCCGAAACTCTTCACCGCTGCATTGGAAGACGTTTTCAAGCTTCTGGACTGGAAAGGATACGGTATCAACATCAATGGCGAGTACATCACTCACCTTCGATTTGCCGACGATATAGTCCTTATGGCAGAATCGCTGGAGGACCTAAGCACTATGCTCAATGACCTCAATAGTGTTTCCCAACGGATAGGTCTTAAGATGAACATGGACAAAACAAAGATCATGTTTAATGTCCATGTCACACCTATGCCGGTAGTTGTTGGGAGCACTAAGCTCGAAGTTGTTGACGAGTATGTTTACCTGGGACAAATAGTCCGACTGGGTAAGTCCAACTTCGACCGAGAGGTCAATCGACGGATTCAACTCGGCTGGGCAGCGTTCGAGAAGCTACGACACATCTTCTCGTCAGACATACCTCAAAACCTTAAAACGAAATTGTACAACCAGTGCGTGTTGCCAGTGATGACTTACGAAACTGAGACGTGGTCCTTCACTGCTGGCCGTATGAGGAAGCTCAAGGTCGCTCAGCGAGCTATGGAGAGGGCTATGCTCGGAGTTTCTCTGCGTGATAAACTTAGGAATGAGGATATCCGCAGTAGAACCAGAGTGACCGACATAGCCCAACGGATTAGTAAGATGAAGTGGCAGTGGGCCGGCCATATAGCTCGAAGAACCGACAACCGATGGGGAAGAAAGGTTCTCGAGTGGCAGCCTCGTACCGGTAGGCGAAGTGTAGGGCTTCCCCCCACGAGATGGAGTGACGACCTGGTAAGACATGCAGGAAGTAGATGGATGCAGGTGGCTCGGGACCGTGTTTTGTGGCATTCTTTGGGGGAGGCCTATGTTCAGCAGTGGACTTGTGAAGGGCTGTAATGATGATGATGATGATGATACTTGGGGTCCCACTGACTGCTTTTCAAAGTATTCTCCATTACATTTTAAACACTATATCATTAGTTAAAACCATTTTTGAAAACCTAGGGATCATTGGTGAGTGCGCATGTTTTTTCACGTGCTGGTTAAAAGCTACCTATCTCGGTCGTACGGATAAATGTCAAAACTTTCATCAAATCTTGGATTTTTGGGAAAATATAGAAGGTTAACCCTTTCGCTGTCCCGTGCACTACATATAGGTCATTGCTATTGTCTTACTATTGTGTCTGAAAACCGGACAGTGAAAGTGTTAAGGTAGCGAGGTTTATACGTGGGGCTCTGATTCTTCTATATATTATGTCTCAGAATTTAGAAAGTGAAATTAACTTATTCTTTTCAATTCCTTGAAATCGGCTTTTATTTTTTGTTATGGGTAATTTTTAAATAGAATATGGGTAACAAACGAGCACCAGAGAACATCGAAAATTTGCGGCATAAACGGCTGTATCTTTTAAATGCGTTGGCTTAGAAGTTTGATTTTTTCACAGCTCCAAGGGACAGTAGACTTGAATATTTGATATGAATTTCAGCTTGATACCTCCACGTGTTCCTGAGAAAAAGGGTCTTGACAGACAGACAGACAAACAGACGGACAACAAAGTGATCCTATAAGGGTTCCGTTTTTTCCTTTTGAGGTACGGAACCCTAAAAAGAATAGATCTAACTTCGAAGGTTCTGTGGTGAAAATGAGGTATAGGTGTTATATCTCACGAAGGCGGACGAGCTTTGATTGTATTTGTGGTGTGTACAGATACGCGAGCTGTGGTGTGTACAGATACGCGAGCTTATGTGCGTAAATGCAAGTAGTATTAGCACAGTTTTAAGACCTTACTACAGTTTAAAGAATGTACAGTTTGGAAAAGAATGTACTTGCGCAGAGCAACGGTGGGGGCACTGCGAGGCAGGGTGCGGCGCGACCTTGTGGCTGCTCACTTCACTGAGTCTGATAGACAATACATGCGGTTGGCGCGAGCGCGTTTTATAGTAGGTACTTATTTTGTAATAAAGTACTTAGGTATTACTTCTGTAGTTAAATTATTACTTAATTCTTTTTTCGCTATAAGTACCTATTTACCAAAAAATTTAGAAATATATTCACCTTTCATTATCCTTCGGTAACTTAAAAAATGATATATCTGAATCCTTTTCTTAGCTCATTAAGTATTCATCCCCGCAACAATTATAGTAGGAATGACGTTCTGCTATTATAATTTATGAAGTAGATAGATAATATACATATATAATATTATTCTTAAATTACATTAAATCTTATTAAACTATTTTATCCTTCAATTAAATATACTAAATACTAAACAAAAACTATTTCGATGGGTATTTCAACAAGTATTTACAAAAAACTATTTACGTAAACAGCGTTAAAAAACTTTAACATTCAATCGCCTAGAATGCGCTTGCCCCGACTGCGCCCCGGGGGCACCTTGCGATTGTAGGTAATTATTTCACGCAGGTAGCAAGAGTGGCAGAGGGCTGCCACCGTGAAATAAAAAATACCATACCAGTGATCCGCGGCGGCGGGGTCGGCGGGATCGCCGGAGTCGGCTGCGTGCGAGGGGTGCGCGGGGTGCGCGAGGCGGGCGAGGCCGGCGGCGGCGAGCGCGCGCAGCGTGGCGCCCGCGCCCGGCGCCGCGCGCACGCGTTGCCAGCGCGCCTCCGCGCCCGCCGCCTCGCCGCTCCACTCCATGCACAGCGCTGCGGCCCACGTTACTCGAATAAAACCACCACCGCTCAACTATTGTTGAGCTTGTTTAAGTTGAATAATCATTTAGGTCGTTATTTAATTTAATCACTGGCTCATAAAACCTCTGTCCAGGGAAGAACCAGCAAGAAACCCAGCAGGACTTAGCTTTAAAAAAATCAATAAGAAAGAGTGTAAAAGCTACTTACAAAACCTATTTAAGAAACAGCTTGGAAGTAACTGCCTCATTCCCAATAACCATGTCAACTACATTAAGTTAGGTCTGTTCATCTTATACGATTGGAAAAGAGACACTTATCCCCTGGGCAGTGCTAAATGAGCTTCACCACATACTGGTAGGATTTTGGCCCTCTACTAGTGAGAGGCCCGTTCGAGGGTTAGTTAACAAACACCTGTGCAAAGAGTTACCGCCAAATGACGCAAGTCGTGTTCCGGCATGATGTTAGGTGAAACCCATTTATTTGGGAGAATGAGTCTAGACAGTTGCGTTGCGCATAAGGACCGGTTGCGACGCGGCGGTTTATTAGTTTCACCGCTGGCCTACATAGATAATTGGGGCCCAAAATGATAATGAGCCAGCCACTAATGAAAGGCAGTCTTTCATGAGTGGTTACGAAAAATCCTGGGATGGCTCCGCCATGCAGGTTGGCGATCGGAGAAGAAATTGCCTGGTCGCAATTTTGAGGGGGTTTCGGGCGTACCGATCTCTGTGCTAGGTACCATCGATGCTACAGATCCCGCTCGGAGACGACGTCCCAAAGCGTTCGTCACGGCTCTACCCTTGATGATGATGTTCAGGGGAACACCATCATCAAGGGCAAAGCATCACTGAGGCTAGATTACGGCTGAACCGAGGATTACGGCTTCTTGGGGCGGAGGCCCTGAACTACTGGTAATGTAACACCTGAGGAGGACGGAATCTGTGTGTATGTCCGCAATGACATCTGCTGTAAGCGTATCCGTCACCTTGAAGATACCAATTTTTCCATGATTTGGGTATTGATAGACACAGGTATGGATAAAATTGTTTATTCTTGTGTCTACCGATTGTACAGCGGTGAACACGAAACAACTAGGCTATTTTATGTGTCTCTAAATAATCTCTTAATAGTACCCTAGTGCATAGCTTGTTTTTCTGGGAACTTTAATGTCTGTCATCACGACTGGCTGTTCCCATACCTTACTGGGAGAGAAGTGTGAAATTTTGCTTTGTCGCTGTGGCTATCCCAGCTGGTAAAACGAGCTACTAAGGTACCCGATGTGGATGGACACACAACCCACTGCCTCGACCTTTTGCTAACCATCTATCCGGACAGGTACGATGTTCAGGTGACATCACCCTTGGGAACTTCTGACCAATTCCCAAGGTGTACGGTGAATATAGCGGTACAAGTCAGAAATATGGGATAAGATGCGGCATTTCTTTGCCTCTTATCCTTGGCGGCAGGTCTGCTTCTCGTCGGAAGATGCCATTACCGATGTGATACGTCAAGCGATGGAATATTTCATGCCATTTGCTGACGTGGCCGTTGGAAGTAAAGCTCACCCATGGTTTAATGTCGGATGGGCAAGTGCTTAAAAATAAGCAAATGGCGTACATACGTCGATGCTACAGACCGCAAAGCTCCGGATGTTAACCAGAGCCTTTAACTAAGCCAAGTCCTGCAAAAAGGCAATCGGGATCAAATCCAGTCCGAAGGAGAAGCTATTCGAAGCTCAATTATGGGTGGTTCATTGAGTCCAGGGCCAAGGCAGCCGCAAGGAAACAAGGTGTTCTTACATGAGCGGTGCAGCTTCTTACCTTATATAAAGCGCAAAGCCTTACGGTTTTCTACAGGATACATTTCGGAGTGTGAGGAGGAATTGCATAATTTAATTCAATTCATCATTCCACTATCGGACAACCAGACGTTCGGCCAGTCTCCACCCTTTTGTTGTTGACTTACCACGCATTCGAACCAAATGGTTTGCTACGTCGTTCATCATGCGTACAGCAAAGAAGTGGAATAAGTTGCCAGCATCTGTCTTTCCATTCGATTACAGTGTGGATGTATTCAACTGTAAACAACACTTCACTATCTTAGGCTACATCACCACTTACCATCAGGTGGGATCGTAGATAAGCGCTGGCTTAGTAGAATATTAAAAAAAACCCGGTCGTGCATGGGGTACTGCTGTCACATATAGGCTGGTGGTGCAAAATGCCACCTAGCAGGGTTGAACTCAATGGAGAGACGTGCTATGTGGCTTATTGGTAACTTTCATTTGGTTGAGGCCAATCTTGTCAGCCTCGAGCACATGCGCTGATCATCTTTTGTAATGCTTACAGCAAAGGAAGGGAATAATGTGTCTTTCCGTCCGTATGCATACTGGGCGTCTTCAAGGCAAGAGTGAATAAGCTTTTGTTTCGCTAAAACAGTGCGATTTACCATCTAGGGCTTCATCACCACTTGCCACCAGGTGGCAATGTGGTCAAACACTGGCTTGTAATAAGGAAATCTTTTTTTCCTATCTACTACCGTGATATTATTAGTCTTGCCGTTTCGAAAATAGTTCGGCCAACATAAACAAAAATTCACACTTTTCAAGGGATTTCCCTTATTTAAGTTTTCCGACACTAAACGGCAATTCTTCGAACCTCACGTCTCTCAGATTTTGAGAAGCCTATGTTCGGTAGTGGTCTGGTCTATTAATGACGATGACAATATTTTTAATTTATAGTTTTATTAATTTCTCCTTTTACTTTATCGGAATTACTATAATACGTAGTAAATGCTCTCATTCATAGAACACGACGGGTCAGCGAGGTTACCGCGTGAACGAAAATCTTTAATATCTATTAAGCAACTAGCTGTGCCCCACGACTTCGCCCGCGTGGAATTTACTACGATTTCATGGATATCAATTTTTTTTGCGCGGAACCCTAATTTTGTTTTTGAGTAACGTTACCATCTTATAAATATTGACAAATATTGACATTAATATTTATACGATACTAACGTCACTCAATTGTTTTGCCTTCCCGGAACCACTAACACTTAAACTTTATGGTATGATATTAAAGTTCAAATAGACTTGTAAGTATTATTACAAATATTTTGTATGGGAATATAGAAAAGTGTTGTTTTTAGACTTTTTCAGGCAATTTTTAAAATTTTTCTCTCCGTAAGAACCATCTTCGTACTTCAAGGAATATTATAAAACAAGAATTAGCGAAATCGGTTCAGCTGCTCTCGAGATTTGCGCTTAGAAACACATTCATTTTTATATTGTTGCGCGCCACTATTGATGTCTTGTACATGGCAACACTAGTTACACTAGCGCCCTCTAGTGTCGAGTAGCAGAACAAGGAGAGTCAAGATCCTTCCAGAAATTTCGGGACCGATATGTACTCGAACATTCTAGATGTCGCTACAGTAGAAGGTTCTGGAAACTAGCTGAGGCCCTATATAAGGCCGGTATAGACCACGACGAAGGCAGTTTTGAATTGGCGATACAAGAGAATACTTCGAAGCGAAATAACTGCGAACTAAAGTGATTGTGTTTTATTATTAGTGTGATTTTAAGTTGTAATTAGTGTTGTGTAATTAAATAGTCAATTTTGGTAATTCACTCGGCAGTTTTTAATTATCTCGAACCTCAAGCTCGTAACAATTGGTTTCAGAAGTGGGATCAAATCATGCCGATTTTACCAAAGGACGACATGGAGGGTATCCATACCCGAAGTCAACGCCAGCTGGAGACGGACCAGAGACGATTTGGTAATACAACGCCGCAAACATCGGAAGGCCAGCTGCTGACCACGGAGTCCGGTCCGTCATCAGCTCCTGCATCTACAGCACCTAACTTAGGTGCTCTGATGATGATGCTGCAGGAACAGGCTCGCCGACAGGAGGAACAGGCCCGTCGGTTGGAAGAGCAGCTGCAACGCGGACAGGAGGAACAGGCCCGCCAACAGGAGGAACAGGCCCGCCAACAGGAGGAACAGGGCCGTCGGTTGGAAGAGCAGCTCAAACGCAATAAGGAAGAGCAGATATTTCTCATGAAGAACCTTCACGCTACCTTCGGGAAAGAGATAAGGGAGGTGAAGGATAAGGTTGCTCAATATGACAACCGCTTGTCGGAAGCTGAAACCCGAATCGACCAAGTGTACAATCGGGTTGACAACGTGATGGCTGACGTGAAGAAAACGCTGGACGACCTTAAACTTGGGGATGGAGTTACAGCTCCCGTGGTAGCTACAACACCTTCGCTACGTGGATTCAAAGTGCCGCCGTTCGACGGGACTTCTTCCTGATCGGCCTACAAAATCCAATTCGAGGCTGTCATGAAGGCGAACGGCTGGAATAAAAGTTAGGCCATGACTGCTCTCACCCTAGGCCTGCGCGACCAGGCCTTAACTGTTCTGGAAGCTCTCGGTAAGGAAGTCACTTACGAGCAGCTCTTTGAGGCATTGGAGGCGAGATACGGCGATGCTCACCTGGAACACGTCTTTCGTGCGCAGCTCAAAGATCGCGTGCAACGCAGTAACGAAAACCTGCAGCAATGGGCCCTTGAGGTAGAGAAGCTGGGAATCCCATCGCGTCAGGGAGGTTGCAGCAGCTACAGTTCGGGACCGCAATAACGGCTACAGCCCTAGGTGCTACGGCTGTGGGGAAAGGGACCATCTTCGATCCAGCTGCCCTAAGCGAACTGTAGAAAGGGAAGGTGATCGATCTCGAGAGGGTAGTGCGGCTAATAGCACCGCCCAGCAGCAGCAGGGAAACGAGTAAAAGCCAGGACTGCGGGGTGGGTGCTGGCTGAGGTTAAAAGAGCCCCAAGGATTTCGATCTCACAAACCCATGATGGGAACAGCCTAATCATCAAGGGCGAGGTCACCGGAACGCCGTGTAAATTGACCATAGACACTGGAGCCTCTCGCACGGTTGTCAGTTCCCAACTTAAAAGTCGGTTCCTTGGGGACTCCGCATACAACCGCGAACGCATTAATTTG